CTCCTTTGAGGTAAGGAGCAAGCCTTGCTCCTGTTGGGCTCGCTTGGCCATGGCAYGTTCTGTGGTTCATCTAATTGCCAGTCGCCGCGCAGCAAAATGCTGCGCGCAACACGAGAGGAATTCAGACACCCGCTGCAAGCAAGAGCTCTGCCCTTCCATGTATCTAGTYTGCTGGGCAAGCTTTCTGAAAGCACAGCTTAGCTGGCCAAACCTGTTCAGCTGCTAAAATAGGACCAAAAGTTTCATACTCTTCAAATAAATATGCATACACAGTTATGCACCAAGTCACCTTTGCATGCAGAGAAGACATCTGCACCTTGACCTGCTCCAAATTCTGTGTGTGATGTCTGAGTCAAGGCTTTTTAATTTCAAAATCAGATAAGATATGAGGACCTAAGATGACTCAGTTTGCTTGCACTGCAGTATAAAGGCCACACACAAAACCCCCTTGGCTTCAGAAAGAATGYTCCGACTGCTGCCCGCTGACGCCCACTCAACAGAGGGTGTTATTTTTCATTCAGTTTMTTTTCAGGCATCATCATACCAAATTAATATTGAAAATGGAGAGTAACAAGCTAGGATTGAGGAACAAGTTACCTAAGGTTTTGGTTTACGACTAAACCATATATCAATTATCTATTTTAGGTGGTTATTTCCTTAGTTATCCGACATTCATGGAAAGGACCAACATCCTTGAAGGAGGAGTTTTGCAAGAATTAGAATTGTTCTGGCCTTTTTTTWAATTCTCTCCCTGAAATAAAGCCAGATTTAGAAAACTTGATCCAGAAAACTACGATGCTTCCGATCAATGCAGAGTCTACATCCAACTTGTGCAGGAAAAATAGCCTTCTTTTACATACTAAAGCAGCACATAACTGGAGATYAGGATTAAAATGAAAATGCCTATGTAAGGGAAAAGATGACAGATGGCAAACCAAAGATGGAGAAAAATATGACTTCCTAATGCATTCTTATCATAGCTTTCTTGAAAGCTGCCCCTTATATGGTTTATGAAAACAAAACAACCCTGAGAAACCCAGGACTCAAACCGGACAGCAAGATTAAGGCACCAGTAGAATGACACATGTATTGCTGACAGCTTTAAATCTTTTTATACTTGTGTTTTTCTACTTGCTCCTCTACTTCTTACAAATTGTTACAGCCTCTCTCTCCCTTTTACTCAGCAACTATAGTATTTTCTCTTGTTTCTATGGGACCAGCTTTTAACCGTTAGGACTTCAGACTCCGTTGTAACAGTCATTAGGGCTGGCCTTTGGGATCTGTGATACCATTCCCGACGATGCTGGCATTTCTTTATTTTTGAAGTAGTTTCTAGCTAACCTAAATCTGGCCAAGATCTTGGCATCTAAAGGAGCGAAGACTTAAAAGTCTCTTAAAACCTGGCCTTGCTTCCCATCTTCAAAACGGGAGCAAGATCATCCTTTCTGCGTATTATTAAAATAAGTATGGCAGAGCAAAAAGTCTTTTCTTCCCGTGGATGTCCATAGCAGAGCAGGGCTCTCAACACAGTCTGGAGTACTCAAGGATAAAGATCTCAGTGAGAGCTGCAAGCAACTCCTCTTAAGAGCACTATCACTTTCACACTCCAGCTGTGAAGACGGGTTTGATGAGCTGGAGTGTTAACTTACTTCTGTATTACAAAGGCCAAGGGGAAAATGAATAAATAAAGCTTTCCAGGCTTTTCTGAACCACCTTTTTTTTAATTTTTTTTTATTTTATTTTTTATTTCCTTAATCTCTGCATTTCTCATTAACACATTTTTTCCAGAAGTTTCATGACCTCATGTAAAAATGAAAAACCAAGCCCTTCATCTTTCTGACTTGCAAAGCATCACTACAGCAGGAATCTGGATAAACTGTCCCCCAAAACACTCTTTAAGGTAGGTGGTTCTTCTTCACAAATCAGCAGCTCACAGATGTATTTATAGAAGTCCATGCTAAGTTACTGAAGGTCTAAATACTTCCAAAAAGCAAGCATCTGGTTTCCATCTGCCCTCATGGGAACCAGGAAAGGGCTTTAACTGAAAAATGAAGTATCAGGGTGCAAAAGAGCAAGATCTCAGGAATGGAGAGATTATCTATCATCAAGAACACTTTCTTAACTACAGAAGGCATTTGATTTTTTTTTTTTTTTTTAAAAAAAAGGAAACTAAAACTGCATGTTAAAAAAAGTCAATGAAAAAGAACTCACCACCTAATGCCCACAGATTTTTAAGCTACATCTTGCAGAAAGCATGAACATGTAAAATACTCTCATTTTAGTGAGACTTATTTAAAGAATTCATATTAGAAACATATACCTGAACATACTTTCCAACATATGCAAGTGTTAGCCCAGCTGGCAAGTGGATTTATGGGTTTGTATTTAAGCAAACATCTCGAGGCGAGGCAGCCTGTTAACTGTGGCGGCTGCAATTCCAGTTCCTCCCAGGGCCGGAGAACAACTGCACCCATAAACAGCCAAGAGGCTCAACTGCCTCACGGAGGAAAACGGAAACTTTTATTCTCCTTGCAAATATTACAGCAATGCTCACTTGCAAGCTACACAACATCTCAACTGGATTTTCCACAGGAGGTGTGTGTGCACATCTGCCTCCATAAACCTTAGCCTTCAAATCCAAGTAAGGCTTTGGGAAGCATTGCTCTAAATACCCTCTGCACCCGGGCGAGCTGCTACTTGTGGCTTTGTTTCTCCATTTAGTTGTTCCACCCAGGCCATAAAGATCAGTGAGAAAAACACACAAATGCAAATCTGAGCAGCAGAGCAAAAGCTCACCAATTAGGAGAGTCCAAACAAGGTAGAAACAAAGGAAGCAAGACCATCCCCTGTTTTCAAATGATGGATGAATTGCACTTTACATATTTTTTCAAATCACAAATAACACAAAATTTTCACTTTGAATACATACAGAAGAATTGCACTTTACATTTTTTTAAATCATAAAGAACACAATCTTCACATCGAATACGTACATAAGAATTGCACTTTGCATTTTTTTAATCATAAATAAAGAACACATAATTTTCACACTGATTATGCACAGAATCGAAACACAAAATCTCTTTTCACAGAATCACAGCATGGTTGAGGTTGGAAGGAACCTCTAAAGATCATCTTGTCCAACCCCCCTGCTCAAGCAGGGACACCTAGAGCATGTGGGCGATGTTCTTTTGGTTGCTGTCACTCAAGTTCTTGCAGCTTGCTTAGTTTCTTCTACCAAAGAGCACATGGACAAAACAAAGCAAAAGCTATTTGATAAACACATAATGTCTTTCCAGGTTTCTTGCTTCTCAACAGGTAAGGCACTCAACACGTTGCTCATGGGTTTCAAGGCACGAAGTAGTCATCCCAGCTCAAGAGGAAACCAACAGTTCTTGGGGATGAACTGCTGTAATGCCCTCTTTTCTTTCAGAACACTTTAAAAAGAGCTTTTTCCAAGCTTTACCTAAGAAAATACCCCAGGACACCAGCTAGGCATGAACACAAGGCGCTTCCCTTTCCCAGATGCCGAGCAAGRGGAGACCCTTCTGCAGGGCAGTAAGGACCAAGATACATCAGCCCAACAGGAGAACTTCCCAGTCAACGAAACGGCTATGACTACTGCTTGTTTTTTTTTTTTGCTTGCTTTTTTTTAAAAGAAGGAAAGATAGTTTTCATTTCCCAAAAAGTCATTTTGGGCCCCAAAAAGGGGCCCAAAGCTTTGGGGCTTTGGGCCCCAAAAAGGGGCCCAAAATACAGCTTCAAGCTAGTAACGGATGGCCAAAATTCATTAAATCAGACTTTTCAGCAACAGGCAGATTGGCCCAAGCTCGAACACGTATAGCAGATACTGCAGTTAGCAACGTGAGGTTGTTACCTCGGGAATAACCACGGTTGTTTACCTCCGGTAAAAACTCTGTCACTGACGTGTCCCTGTATTATTTCCATACCTCAGAAGTTAACCATTAAAACAAGCCCATCTGTCAGCAGTAGGGAGATTCGATACAGCAATATGTTCAACAGGTAATATAATGGGAAGTAACGGTCAACTATTCTTATGAAACAATTTGTTAAATTGTCAGATTTCCTGGCAGTGGTTCCTCTAGTTTTGTTCCAGGTACTCGTAAATTAAAAAGGAGGATTTTTTTTTTTTTCATGCCACCAGATTATCATCCAATTCAGTTACACTATCTCACTACACTCGATCCAGGAAGTTTGTATTAGAATATACCTTTTTTTACAGAAAAAAAGTACAAAAGTATTGTGGACCTCTCTAAAATATACATTGGTGGACTGACAGGATTCACCTGAAGGGTACCACTTCCTTAGCAAGTATTTTTGTCTGGAAYATGACACATACTCCTGCTTTTAAAAACTCTATGTAGATGTCGGCAATAGTAAACCCACTAGGATGGATTGATGGATGAACTTCTGGCCACTTGTTCTGGCTAGGCCTACTGAACAGCAGCACAGAAGATCGATTGGCTTTAAAGGGAAAAAGAAAAAAAATAAATAAAGACCCTGATGAGCTCCCCTTGCTGCTACTTGGGTTGCTGGACATTCAGCGGCAACACCGAATAAGACTAAGGCAGCCTTAAGTAGTAAGGAGGCCTTGGTGAAGGAAAGTGATGATGTAGGCCGTGACTCCAAAAGAAGTGCAGCCATCAAAGGTGGGCACAGCAGGGAAGAGAGAAGAGCGAGCCTGGGTCAGGCCTGCTGCTAATTAACACATTTAAATCTGAAGCTCAAAATCAAAAAGCCTTCACCCAAGGCAGAAGAGGTAAAAGGARGATGGAAAAGATCTTTATCCACTCATAAAATTAACTTCTAGTAACACTTCTAAAATGCTATAAATCACGATATATTTCAGACAGCGACAGCGTATCTTTCAATCACGGCCACTTAACTGCATTCACTTTGCCAAACCACTTACATGTGTTATCCTCCAAACAAGTGTTACGACGATGATTAATTCACAATTAAGGAAAAGGGTGTCCTACCTTTGCAGGGTCATGTTGAGATTGCCCGTGCACGCCTTGATCTTGTTCTGCGCCTCCAGGTGAGTCATGCCGTCCGTGCTGATGCCGTCGATGGAGAGCACCACGTCGCCTATGCCCACGTGTGCTTGGGCGGCCTTGCCGCTGTCGTTCAGCTGCAACACCACAAACACAGCGAGTGAGCAACCCCGCTGCGTCATCCTCACGTTCCCCCAGTTCTCCAGGTCCCTAAGGAAGTTACTGCCCATCTACCACACTTTCCAGGCCACGTCATATTTGGGCATTCTTGTTCTACCTTCACTTAAAGGTCACAGCCTGGGTCAGCACTCTTGGCGAAAACAGGTTTGCCTTGCACTCRATGGGCTGCAAGCTGTGCACGCTCACCAAGATGTGAGAGCAGGGCCAAAAATGCAACATTTCCTAGACTCCATGTTCCTGTCTCTTATTTCTCATTCTAGATTTCCATCTAAAAACTCTTTCAAAACTTCATGTGTGGACGCTCCTGTGCATGGGACATTTCATTAATAGTGAAGTCCCCTTGCATGATATAATCCAGCAACAGAAATCTCTGCAAAGCTCACGGTGCTGACCCCTGACTGAACAATAATTTCACCTTTTCATCTGACGCTACTGAATTTCAACCATCTTCGCTTCCAAGGACAGAAATAAAAATGAACACACAGCAAGATTTACGCACCCATTTGCTTTGCTGTTCTCAAGCTGYTGACGGCTTTATAGCTACTACAGAAAAGAGTCTTGTACAAGGCAAACTCCCTCTTTTTATGTTTTGTATTTCTTATCTTAGGAAAAAGGAAAGGAAGCAGAGGCAGTCCCATAGAGAGGAAARAAGTCCAAGACACAAGGAGAATGAAAATAACAGCAACTCAGAAACCTTCTGAAGTTACTAAATTCCTCAGAATTRTAATTCATGTACCACATAATTTCACTAAAAGCTTCAAAAACAAAGTCAGAATTCCTCACACTTTGGCATACAGACTCATCCTTTCACTCAGGAGAACCTGGATGCTCTAAAACCAAGGCCATGGAACCCACCAAGCCTAGAGAAAGCCATAACCAACACAGCTATTTTTAGGATGGATCCTCAAACCTTCCAGGGGAAGAAAAAAAAGCCATAAACAGTTCTTTAAACCGATGCATTACTGCATACTGACATTTGTCAGCAGCTGCTCAAAAAGGGAATGGGGCTTAAGGGCATTAAAAACCAAAGGGCAAAAGGATCACTATGTTTTGCGATCCGACTGCCCAAGTGAATAAAACCGAGCTTTCTCGGAACGCATATAAGTGTGTGATGAAAAAGCAGCCTAAAAGGCAGTGAAAAGCAGTTTTCTGGATGATTTATTTCATGCTGGGGGAGATCCCGAGCAGTGTTGCACTCATCTAGATGCAACCGATAAAGGGGCCAAGTGACAGCGGTCCACGGGACCAGTTGGGCTAAGCCATTTGGGCTAAGGGATCCGACTGATGAATGCCGGTGAGGTTGGTACTTCTAGGAATCGTCTGCTCGAGCAGTCGTCACAGATAATGGAACAATTATACAATGTGACTTGCCAACATGAATCGGAACAACAGATAGGCAAAAATACATAACATCGAGTRCCTACGTGATTTACTCCACTGGTGAGAATTTAAGCATTTGAACTCTTTAAGGCCTTTTTATATACTGCAGGCACATTTGCACCCCACGACCCTCAGTTTTGACATTTCCCAGGCTCTCGTGACTGCATGTTATCCTCATAAACTATAAAGCAAACAGAAGCATCTAGCACTAGACACAGGTGAAACACAGTCTACTTAAAAACAGGAAGACAAGTCAACTGATGGGCAAAAGGAAAAAGAAAAAATAACAATTAATGCCCTTATCCTTTTAAGAATGAAAGCCTGACCTTCAAACATAGCTTTGTTAAACACATCCATAGAGCCAAATGCAATCACTACGCACTGCAAGAGGCATGCGTGGAAGAGTATGGCGCTGCAGCGACCAGCTAGGCTGCCTATAAATCAAACCGCCTTCTACGCGCCACGTAAACACTCCTGAGATACTTGACAGATCTGTAAATTCTATATTTACAACATGAGTCAAGTTTTTAAAAGCAAGCAAGGGCTGCAACTACCAAGTAAGGTCTTTTTGTTAAGCCACCTTTTTTTCCTCATGGAAAGAGGGTATGTTTGCCTATATATGTGTATATACAGACACACACGCATGTATGTGTACATATACGCATGCATATCACTGAATCAGTGCAATTTGTAGCTTAACTCATTCCTAATTAACATATAACCGTTCTTATTATTCTTATACCACTAAGACAACTTGCCAAGCATCTCTCCTTGGATCATATCATCATCATTTAGCTCTTTTGCAGTAATAAATGACAAAGCTCTCTGGGAGCTGACAGGGAAACTGCCTTTGATCTTCTCCACTTTCTACTTCTCACAAAAAAGGCCTTTCCTCCTGCACGTGTGCATGAGCTAATCTGCTGCACACGTGCACCCATCAATCCCTTCATGTATCCCCCGTCTCTCTATTTTTACTTTTCTTAAAAAAAAAAAAAA